GAGTACTCCAGTCGCGGCGTCACCTGCCAGTGCCACACACCGTCCTTTGTCGCTACCAAAATGAGCAAGATGCGACCCTCCGCCACCGTTCCTACTCCCGAAGAGTACGTGGAAATGAGCATGAGGTTTATCGGTCACGACGATCCGGTCGTTCAACCCTTTTGGTTGCATGCTACCCTGTGCTGGGTCTTTTACAACTTTATTCCCACCAACTACATGGTCGCCTACTACTTGTCTACCGCCATCAAGTTCCGCAAGAAGGGAATGCAAAAGGATGAAATGATTGCCAAGGGCATCAAGCCCCAAAAGACGGCTCACAAGCGTGTCGATCCGCTTCTCGAGAGTTTGATGTTTTGGCGCAAGGATTTGAAGGTCAAGGGACAGTGAGTGAAAAGTGACCACAAATGAACGAACTGTATTGAACGTCAATCAACAATCACCTGCAGAACTAAAATAGAGAGAGAGAGAGACACTGAAGTGGAGTGCAGTCTACTACAACAGAGGTAGCTACTTAAAGAATGATATGCTCAAGTTTTGAACACAAACAACTCCAGAAAAGTCTGCTGCGTACGAAGTAGCTTTTACTTTCTTCAAGGTCGTTTGTTGCTGCAAGTAGGTCCAAAGCGCACGTTGCTACAGCTGTACTAGTAGTTCTAGTTGAGTACGGTATACCGGTACGGAAGCAGCAACGTGCACTTTGGGAATTCTTCGTCACCAAGGGCTACGGTAGCTAGTTGCTAGATGATTATCTAGACTAGAGACATAAATAAATAGACATAGTATGTGACGACGTGACTCGAATTAATTGAATATCACATGAGCAAAGATGGCAAGTCGACCAGTCTGAGGGTCTTGCACTTGATGGATCTGCCTGCTAATACAACCTGCGATACAGTCCACTCATTGCCAAGCGGTGTACTCTCAATAGAGGTGGCAGAACAATGGTACTTTGGCGTGGCACAAACAAAATGTTGGCTTGGTTTTTCCCTTGGCCCAAAATATGAGCTTCAAACCCATATTGGTCCATATATTTCACAGCATCATGGACATGGCAATCCCCTTCGTGGCGGGTGACATTGCTGTAAGCGCATTCAATGATCACAGTTCCAAACTTTTTGATTTGATCACCAGCACCCTTAAGAACAGTCAAATCAGCACCCTCTGCATCAACCTTGAGATGAAGATTGTCGATATGAGGTGGCACTAGGTCCAAGATTCGTTCCAGCCGTAAGACAGCCGTCTTGATGGTGTCCTTGGAATCAAAACACCAAAAGGAATTGTTTCTTGCGGTTTTCAAGATAGAGCCACAGGCAGGTCCCCTTGCAACATTAAATCATAAACTCCTTCAGTATCTCCCATGGCTGCACGGATAATGAGTGCTTGGTGTTTGTATTGTGGGTTCAACCAGCTCTGCCCTTTGGGTATGTTTAACACAGCATGCTCTGCCACTTTCATGGTCAGCGGAATATAGCTGTCCGGAAGTGGGTCCACCATAATCAGAGATGTTGTATTGTCTTTGTGTAGCCATGCCAGGTAATCAGACTCGCGAGCACCAATGTCAATCATCAAGTTGGGCATTGACGGGTGAAGGTCCAGCTTGCCATGCTTGTTCAGGGGAAAGAGGAGAGATCCGACCCAATCATCCACACTTTTCTGACTGTCCTTTTCAGTATGCATATTTGTTCTTGTACTTTCAGTCTGAGGAGAACTTGTCGTTGTGTTCTCTGAAGAAAGGGTCCTGATATAGTCCGCGCTCTGCAAAAGCTTGAGAAACTCAGGTCCATACTGTCTGCAGGCACTGGACACAAACAAGTTGGGAAGGGCTCCCGCCAAAAGACCGCCTAAGAACCATAAGCTCCTAGGAAAGAAGCTGCTGTTGTCATTGTTGGGGTTCTCCTCCCTCGGCCTTTTCTTCTCCATCAACCGTACCATTCTGTTTTCTGTTACTGTACAGCTGCAACGCCGCAATCTCTTTTGTTGGGATGTTTCTGCCTTTGCGTATGCAGACACCTTTCCACCACCACTGCACAGCACCGCGAATACTGTACCGATAGGTGTCATTGTCCTAAGTCGAATCAGCAAAAGATGACGGTGCCCTCTCGTTCCTCGTTCGCGTTAATAAAATGACCGTGGAAGCGAAGAGAGCGTGGGCAGAGCGCGCTGTTAGCCATTGACCAAATACTACGACATTGGGTTGATCAACAATAATGTGGTTTACTTCTGGCTTTTATTTTTGACCGCGCCGTTTTGCATTCTCACACTTCGCCCTAGCCAGTCAATTTGAGGCGCATTCTGCTTTCAATTCGTCATCTATCTATACTTGCTTTCCACAGTTTCGTCTTTGACCACTATTTCCTTAACGCACTGTTATTATTGCCTCACAAAGGTCCAAATAGCACTTGCCAGTTGCAGCCAAGGATCAGGAGTTTGTTGGTCTTCTTCCACTGGCAGTGTGGATAGCAAATTCAAGTCAAAGTACAATCTCTTGTAGGTTGTTACTAGCTTATTGGTAGTCTCTTCACTCTTGGATGGTTCCTCCGCCAACAAGAACTCGACACTACCACAATGAGCATCCGGTGGCAAGACTGGGAGCAGTTGCTCTTCCATTTCCCGCCGTACATCCTCTGGAACCGACCACGGCTGTATCATAGGACGCGCGTTTTTAGGCTGACGTTGGCAAACCCCTCCAACACAGCCCGATGTGAATTCTTCTGTGGATGTGGTGGTGGTTGTTGTTGTTGATGCCTCGAGTAGTGGTGGTATTTCGACAGTCCGTTCCACGGCACATTGTACTTTTCCCATGAGGAACCAAACGCGAAAGATCTTTCCATCCTTGGGCTGGACATAGTTTTGAAACAGCACAAAGCGATCCGAATAGTTTGGGATTGGTCTCTCCTGTACCGTTGCTATTGTTGATGATGTAGGAGTGTGATTTCTTGGATCACCGGCATGATTCTGTTCATCCATCATCTTGACTTGTCGACGTTCAATACCTGCTCCAAACCCGCCGGCATTCGGTTTGATGAGATAGTTGAGCATGGCTGGAGTTGTTGCTGGTTTGGTTTCCTGATCACCTGGCTCTATAGACAGCTGATATAGCATGTTTACCGCATTGACTTCTAGTTGTGGATTGTCGTGGCGAGATGAGGATATTGCTTTCAGTTGGTCGTCTTTGGCCTCGTTGATAGTATCCCCGTCGTCATCATTGGCACAACTGCTCGTTTGAAGCGCTGCCACTGTGTGTGGGGAATCCAAGTTGGCTTGTGCGAACAATACGTGATGACACCACTTGTGAGTACACAGACTGTAGGCATCGGGTCCATTCCAAATGGGAATCTTCCAAACCAGTCTGGCAATCTGCATCACTGCCATGCAAGCTTTGACCTGCCAAGGTTCGGCGGCGTCCGATACTCGATTGACCAATCCCATCCAATGAGTGCCAGCTGTAACCTGTAGATGGTCCTTGTCGATTATTATTTCTGGAGGAGGAGAGGAAACACAAAAGGGTCCTTGCAAGAAATCTTCCAAGACAACCACTTGGATGAGGATCTCAGGAAGACCGTCTGGATCTTTCTTCTGCTGTTGCTGCTTCTGCAGAGCTTCCACCAGTCGATGGATCCAGATTCCATCTTGATGCTTTCGAAGAGTCAAGATGGCCAAGGTGTCCTTATTAGTGTTGCCATCGGAAGGTGCCTCATTACGCATCATCTCATCATCTCATCTTGGTCTTTCTTGCTGCTCAATCTTTGGAGGTGACGAGTGCTTCCGTGAAAAGATCCAAAAAGGAGATTGAAGTCGGCAGTTTGAAAAAGGCTTAAGAACCCATTCATGACTTAACGAGTCACGTTTTTCTCTTTCGGACGTTTCATTTTCTTTGCAAGAGAAGACGAGAACGCTCTAGTCCCACACTTTTGGCTTCCTGCCCACATCAACTGTTGTTATCTCTGTCTTGTCGTCCTTGTCAAAGCTGTTAATTTCCACCATGGGACGCGGCAAGAATAGTTCCAGCATTCGAGCCATGAAGAAGATCAAGACTGCCTTTGACGCTGTTGTAGCAGCAGGAGACCTGCCAGCACCATCTCCATCATCGACGAGCATCATCAACAAGGCGGCCTCTCCCGCCCAAAAAAAGATCATGACCAAGATGAACAACATTGCCAAAAACAACCTCAAGAGTCAAGACATGAAACATCTCGTCAAGGCACTCGACTTGGATATATCAGACTCTCTGGTGGATTATGTGACGGAAACCACCACGGCCTTGACCCGTCGTGACAAGCTTCGTCGCAAGTACGCTAGCAAGACCGTTGTCAAGTATGCCGAATCGGTTCAGACTCTACGCAAGTGTCAAACATCCATTCAACAGACCCGAGATGATATTATTCGCTGTGAAACCGACATGGTCTTTATGGGGCTCAAGCAAAAGCTGTTGGAGACGTCTGCCCAGTATAGCAGCCAACAACAAGAAAGCAATGACAATGACGCCCAAACAACAACAGCAGCAACAACAAACCGCAAGCACAGTGGGTGTCTCGTCAAGATGGACGACGATGATGATAGCATTGAGAGCGCATACGACACTTCCAACGAGGCCAATATGAGCAGTGACACGATCCTTGTCAGCAACACTTCTGAAACCGGAACACACGGCGAGACCGCTATGGCTACCGCCCAGAATGTGTCCACAGCAACGGCTACTGAAGCTGTTGTCCATCTGCCCGACGTGAGCCGCTCCGCCGAATCAAAGGTCCTTGTTGCAATGGTAGAGACCAAACTACTAGACATTAAGAAACTGCCCGAGCCAAAGGACGGGGAGGAGAGTGACACTGAAGACGAGACGTTGAGTAGCATCTGCAGTCCTGACACGGACGCCTACGTTACGGCGGAGGAGGGCGGCTTTCTGACTGACGATGACGACTTTGTCTCCGAGGAAGAGGACGACGGTGAAGAGGAAGATGCTGATGATGACCATTCCTTCACATTTGATGGAAGCAAGCCGTTCATTGATGGCTTCTTTTCGTCAATGGGAGAGCAAATGGCCTCGTTCTTCCAATCCGGAACACTCGCCCCTACCATTCAGGTGGAATCTCGCAAGGATCACAAGCGTATTCGAAAGATCATGATCCAAAAGTTGCTCTCGCAACCCGAGCTACAGCGTCAGATGAACGCCAGTCCTCTCATGACCGAACTCAAGACCATGTACATGCAAAAGGCGAATTCTAGCAGCGTTTGCACCAACACCCGTGGATGTCGTTGCGATTCCCACAAGGACGTCCATGAAGCCGTGCTAGAGACTATGGTGGCTTGCTTCCTTCATCACTTTGTGGGAGTTGAGGGTGCCCCCCTCATCGACAGCCAGGGCGCTTTCATTACCTACTACGCGTCGCGCAACAACGGCAACCAGAAGGCACTTGAAAACGCCTAACACGCCCTGACCTGAAACAAAGCCAATCCAGTGAGCCCAACGATGAATTGAATCGTTCAATCGATAAACGTGAGATGAACCCTCATGCATGGTTCGGGGACAAGAAAACGGCAACAGCTGGGAAAGCGACAAAGGAATTCATAGATACAAAAGCATACACACCCTGCAACAAGTGATTGAGAAGCTGAGCTACAGTTGACTTGCATAAAACACGTTAAAATCATAATACACGTTTTAAAATCAAAGCCACAGTTGTATTGCCGTTCGATTCTTTTGTCATGGTTGCAGTGGATGCTCCCGTGGGGTCCAAACAGATGTACCGTATGCTTTTTTCGGCCGCGACCAATAATCTTTTGGTGCCGATCTGCTGACATCCATCCTTTTTCAACATTCAAACCGGATACGACCCGACTTCGTTGCCGGATGCCGAGTGCCTCGGTTGTATCGGACCGTTGCAGCATTGGTCGCGAAAGCGCTGGGAATTTTTACATCTTTGCAGCCGGATGTCTCTCGTACTCTCGCACTCACCCTCCGTTAGTCTCCCAACGCTTCAGGACTCTCCTCACAAAAGTACTTTTGAGCCAATCTTAGCACAGAAGCAACAAACAAACAAAGATGGCAGATCCCATTCTGGTAACTACCATAGTAGTAGCTGTCTCGCTCGTTTGGGTTTGCTCCAAATGGATTCGTTACTATCGTGAAACAAAACGCCCTTTTCCCAATGTCCCCATGCCAGGTGAATGCCACTGGCTGTTGGGGCACCTGGCTCAACTCATGGATGGTAATTTCCGTGTTACAATGGCCTGGCTCAAAGAGTCCACGGACCAGCACGGACATGTGGGTGTTTGGCTTGGTGATAGGCCCAGATGTTTTTGATGTCAATGATGCCAAGACCATTCTAAACAAGGAGTCTTACAGGTTCAGACCTATGCTCCTCAAGAGGCACATGGCGAGAGTTACTGGAGAACGTGGTATAGCTGCCCTGAATGGGAAGGATTGGAGGATGCACCGCCTTGCTTTGACCAAGACGTTCAATCCTGACTTCTTGGCACACTCTCGTGTGGAAATGCAAAAGATTGCACATCAAATGACAGAGAGGATTCAGAGCAAGATACTCAAAGAAAGCAGGGGTGGCTCATTCGTGGAACTCGACATTGAGCCCTTGATGAAGTCCGTCACACTTGGAATCTTTTGCAAAACAGCACTGAACTTTGAAGTAGTGACTGGCGAGGATGGCATGAGCCCATGTCCACAGGCCACTGCCTTTGAATACTTGAGTGAACAAATGATGAAGCGTTTTAGCAATCCCCTTTGGCCTCGACACTTTTTTTACTGGATTCCCACTGAACAGAACCGTCAACAGATAAAGGAACAACACTTTGTTCGTTCCTTCTTGACCAACCTGATTACGGAAAAGCGCAAGTCTATTGAAGAGAGCCATGCCAGTGAAACAGATAAGGATCTTCTGACACATCTTTTGAAGGCTCACAACACTGCCAAGAGCATGGGCATTGTGGAACCTGAACAGGTCACAGACGACAACCTCACTGACATTCTCATGTCACTTTTTAGTGCGGGTTATGACACAACATCAATGACTTTGTGCACTGCATTGTACTTGCTCGCTCAACACCCTCAAGCTCAAGAGCACTGTGTCAGAGAAATCCAGAACACGAAGGGTGGATTGGTTGATCCACATGACTTGGTGTACTGCAGGGCTGTGATCCTGGAGGCTCTTCGAATGTACCAGTGGTTGCTACCCTCCGCACCATGACAAAGCCAGTGGAGCTCAGTGGAGGTCTTGTCGTCCCTAAAGACTCTGATGTGTTGTTCCTATCTATGGCATCCACCATGATGAGAACCTCTTTGCTCTTCCCTCTGAGTTTCGTCCGGATCGTTGGGTGTCAGCAGAGGAAGGGAAAGAAGGATGCTGGATGGAACGAAGTGCCTTGGATGATTCTGGTGAAATTCCAGCAGCCAATCGTTCCAATTTATTGGCTTTCTCAGCTGGTGGCAGGAATTGTGTGGGCATGAAATTTGCCATTCAAGAAGCTGTCCTTGTCCTTGCCAACTTGCTGAAAGGGCTTGAATTCGCAGCTGTCCCCAGCTTTGACCTCAAGAGCTCCAACCAGGTCATTCTCCATAAACCTGACAATGGTGTTCTTCTCAATGTTAGCACTAGGGTGTGAATTGTTTCTGGCCAGAGTGTCTGGGGTTCAGCCAATGAGTTGGAGGCTGCGGTAAAAAGTAGCTAGAAGTAAGAACTAAGTAGTGCAAGCCCAAAGCAAAATTGGACCCAACGACAACACCAGTAGACGAGGAACCTTGCTCCATGAGTCTCCACCAACTCCAATGGCAAGGAAGTCAAGGCTACTACTGTAGGGAGCCAGCCAGCCATCCATAGGAATACCAGTAGGGGATATCACCGCATTGTGTCTAAGCGGGCAAAGACTGCGGGTTTGGTGTTTGGTAACTCGTTCTTAGTATGCTTTAGTAAATAAATAGTTTGATACGTTTAAAGATGGCAATGATTGGGTGTATGTGCTGTCTGTGTGCGGAGTGGTTGGTAATGATGCTGTTTTCAGTAGTTTGTGGCCGTCGAAGCGTTCAACCGTGCCGTCTATCGGAGCCATCGAAGCAGGGCGCTGAAAATCAAAAAAGCATCCGGAACAGAGTCGGCGTCTTCCACGGTTGCATACCCATAGTCATCATAATCCTTGGAGGCGACAACTCCAAAGAGATTTCGGTTGTCATAGGCCTTGTTGCCGCTCCATGCTTCGGTGGAAGGAGCAAGCAAGAGCACTGTCATAAGAACCAAGGCAAAGATGAAGTTGGCAGAAGCAGTAGAAATCATATTGATAATTTAGGGCTGAGACAAAATTGAAGAAGAGCAACAGAACTTGTTTCTTTTCGATTGGCTTGTTGGTTTTTGTGTTGGTGGCTTTTATGAGAGCATTGGTGGGCCAGAGTTTTCCGTGACAACTTCCCTACCGGTACAAACATGTGCGCTGTACCGGTACTCTAGCTAGCTAGCTAGCTAGATTCTCAAGCAAGGATGAGACATCACTGTGGTTGGATTGCTGGACAGGCACACTGAATATCTTTGTGTGTCTCGATGTCCCGGTACCGGTTCAGGAAGAAGGGGTCAAATCTGGGTACATTTGAGGCGTCCTTTCTGGTAGTAGGACCTCATAAAAACAAAAGATCTCACACTTGTTCGAAAACTTAAATTGAATTTGAGGGTTGACAGGCAGGCACCCAACAGACCATTTTGTCCCGAGTCTGGAAACCGGTACAGTACACAAGAAAACACATTCATCCAGCGACACGTACATGTTAGCAACCGCACAGCTGCAGGTACATGTCAGCAACCGCACAGCTGCAGGGGATTGCTGGGACCCGTGGAGTAAAAATAGCGTACAAAAAGAAGAGGACGAAGTTGTGCTGTCTTAGATTTCGACTCACACTCCAACATGTTAACTCTTGCCAGGCGCAATGGAAACTTGGTTGCTTGGGTGCACGCATTCGCTGAGAACGGAATGAAAGAAGTAGATGACACAAGAACTACGGTACTGGGTTGAATGTACCTTGAGGCTCGTATATGTGCTCCAGATACAACATACGGTCCCAGTGCAGCTATTGATACGAATGGGCAGCTGGATGGCACCACGCCCTAAAAAGCAACTCAGCTACCGGAATTGAAGGGCTACGAGACGTAACAAGAGTAGAATGGGAACCAAACAGGATTGGGGGACTTGGGCACTCATGCTTTCATCCTGCTGTTGGCGGCCATCGTTACGATATGGAGTAGATTTCTGGCACAGCCACACAAAGTTGACCCTCTCTCGTGCTTGCTAGCCAGATTGAATCAGCCAAGGAAGGTGTGGGCACATGGTACGACTAGTTTCGGGGCTGCAGTTGAGAGTCTCAGTCGCGTCTATCCCAGCAGGCCATCACTAGCAAGCAAGCAACAGCAACAGCTCTTGCTATGCTACATGTACCATGCGTCTCGTGATTCACACCTGGTATTCTCTCAGTTTGAACTCATTTCTCCGCAGCCATTTGAAAGCTACAATAGTACGTTCCAGGTACCGGTACCGGTACCGGTACAGTCGAAGTGTTACCGTATAGTGGTTGTAGTACCAGGTACCAGTACTAGCATGAAAGGTAGCGACTCGACTCGACTCCCAGCTTTCCATCCTCCTATTGCTCAACACATAGTTGCAAAAAAAAGAGCACGATGTCCTTCCTGCCTTGTACCGGTACCGGTACCAATAGTGCTCAAACCAAACAATTCCAACGTCGCAGCATGTCGCAACGGGCTATGGCTTACCGTACTACCAGTGGTGCCGGCCAGCAGCACCCCGCAATCAAGCAAAGCCGCAACCATCGTTGACAACACAAACTTCAGCGACGGTGTCAGAACGCTTGCCTGCTCGAGTGTTCTGGGAACATTCCAGCTGCCACCTTGAATGGAGAGCCAGCGCGCCACTCCCGCGACGGTCCTGTTGGCATTGCCACGGCGCCGTTAACCAACACGTCACCACAAAGTGGAGGCAAGGAAGAAGAAAGCCAAAAGCGTTCTTTTATTGGCCCATGCTCCAATGCAGAGCTGCTTCGTAAACAACGGCTGTTTAGACGATCCTGGATCCTTTTTTTTTGGTGGTCTGTTGTCTCAGACTACCCTACGTTTTCCTGGTTCAAATGCTGCTTGCATATTGATGGCATAGATCATTTCATTTATTTGATGCTGTTGTTGTTTGGTAGCGCCAGGTTTCCAAATAGATTTTACAGAAGAAAAGGATAATCTCAAGATAGAATGTGCCAAGCTGACGAATTACCTCCAACAATGGCGCCCGAAGACCAAAGTCTGGTGAAGGAGCTTTTGGAAAAGGCCAAGGCCGAAGCGGGAGAAGGTGCCTCTCCTATGCAGGTTTGGTCCATTTTACAACACAAGCTCAAGCCGTCCATGGCTATGGAAGTCCATCAATGTTGCTATGAACAGGCGTATACGGGAGTATCCGATGTTAAACCCTCTTGGGTTCCTTCGCCTGAATCTATCAGCAAAACCAATATTCATAAAATGATGGAAGAAAAAGGATTCAGTAGTTACCAAGAGTTCTATGAATGGTCTGTCAACACGGAAACACGAGAAGAATTTTGGAACCAAACAGTAGAGAAGCTGGATATCCAATGGGAAGAAAAACCCACTGGTGTCTTTGACTTGACCAAAGGAGGACCGGCTCATGTGAGCTATTTCCCTGGTGGCAAACTCAACATTAGCGATTCGTGCTTTCACAAGCGAAAACCCACCGATGCAGCATTGGTCTATGCCATGGAATCCGATCCACGGGCCATCCAAACCATGACATTTTCCGTTCTGGAGAGACTCTCCAACCAAATTGCCCATGCCATCCATGATCGTCTTCAGTTGACACCTGGTGATGCCGTCGCCATTTGCATGCCCATGACACCCGAATCCATTGCCATTTACTTGGGAATTGTCAAGGCCGGTTGTGTCGTGGTTTCCATTGCAGATTCCTTTTCGGCCACGGAAATTGCTACTCGTTGCCGTCTTGGCAATGCCAAGGCCATTTTCACACAAGATGTCATTTACCGAGGAGCCAAGTTCTTGCCTCTCTTCAACCGTG